CGTTGGCCAATCCTGAGCGCAGCGGGCGGGAGGGCGCAGATCCTGGCTGGGTGGGGCCGGCCCCCGCCTACTAGGAATTAGCTTTTGTTCTCCCACTGTCTGACAGTGCTATAGAGTCAGGTGACTCCGTTAAATTTGGTTAACGCCAGGCAATTTACAAAGTAATTTGTTGAAAACGTATTCTCTGCGTTCGCCTGAGCTGTCAATTCTGCCGATATATTTTAGGGGCAGAAATGAAATGGGGAACATTGTCTTTCTTTGAAGACGCACTGCAGTTGAAGGAGTTTAGAGTGCTCACTGGCGAGCTTCTTTAGATTGTGCTGGAACCTCATAGCTAGTCTGAAGAGTTTGTAATCGTGGAGGGAGTACTATCAGACAGAATTTGTTCATTAATTAATCCAAGAAATAGCTACTGAGTACCTACCAAGAGTCAAGTACTGTTCTAAAGCCCTGAGAATACAGTCCCGGCCTTCATTGAAATTAGAATCTACAGGGAAGGAATAATAAATACATAAATGTGTAATATGTTGAGTGGTGCTAATTAGGGTAAGGAGATACAGTAATGGTTTCTGTGTGCATATGTGGGGGAAAATGCTATTTACATAGAATCTTCAGGAAAGGCCTCACTGATGACACTTGACTAGGTTTGAATAAACTGTGTGTGTGTTGGGGGAACTTGTAAATATTAATTTATGTATTTAACAAATATTTTCTAAGTAATCGCCTAGTAGGACAGCTTTTGTTCTAAGCACCAGGGACGCAGCACTGTGGAAAAAAGGCAAACCTCTGACCTCTTGCAGTTTGGTGTGAGAAACTTAAAATAAATAAAACAGTTTAAGTAAAATGCATGTCAGATTAGCTAAAAATAAAGCAGGGAAGGAGGTGAGAAGTGAGTAGAGAGGGTGTTGAAGTTGTAGATGATATGGCCAGAAAAGGCCTCATAGAGAATGTGACACTTGAGAAAAATCTGAATGATGTAAAAGAAGAGACATGCTGTTATCAGGAAGGGCAATTTCAGACACAGGGAACCAGCTAATGTAAAGGCCAAGAATTTGGAAAAAGCCTAGAGGAACAGCAAGAAAGCCAGTGGAGGTAGAATGGAGTGAGAGAGGGAATCATAGAAGTAGCATGAGGCCGTGGTAAATAAAGCCTTTGGATTTTATTCTAGGTAAACTGGAAAGCTGTTGGAAAGTGTTAAGGAGAAAAGTGAAATTATATGATTTATATTTTTAAAGGATTACTCTGGCCACTGTTCTGAGACTATTCTGCCGAGTGGGGAAGGATGGAAGTGCAAGGACCAGTCAGGAGGCTGTTTTAGTACTCCAGTAGTAGTGGTAGAGTCATGGTGGTGCCTTTGATTTGTGTGTCCTGCAGGTACTAATAGTTTACCTATCCCATCTCCTCTCTCATTTTTTCAAAGGTCCCGTCCCTTGAGTACAGGGACAGCTGGTTTACAATTCAAGTTCACCTGGAACCCTAGTCTCCTAAGTGGCTTCTCTATTCACTGTGCTTTGTGGTGGGAATAATGACTGTATTAGGGAAAACAGTATGAAAGTTACTCAAAAAATTAGAAACAGAGCTACCTTATGATCCAGGAATCCCACTTCTGGGTATATATTCAAAAGGAAATGTTTGTTTTACAGGTATCTCAGGAAATTCCACAATATATTAATTACTTTTATTAATATCTCAACTCTATTTTACATGTCAAGAAGCCCTTTGGGTTTTCCTATTCCTCAATTTTCCTAACTTTATTGAAGGTTTGAGAGGATAATGGGCATCAGTCTGGCAGAGTCATGGATCAGAGCAAGGAGTAAAATAAGAAAACTGCTGGAAAAACCAGGCAGTACTTCAATTCCTCCAGAATAGGCTTCATCAAATGGCATCATTATTATGCTGGAAGTGAATTTAGAAATCTCACACACCTCCTATTGTAAATAGAAGGACATTCCAGAGCTATTTTTCTGTTTGTTTGTTTATAGTATCCACATGTCTAAAAGCTGGGGGAAAAAAATGATCCACATTTATTGACCCAGCACAGTGCTAAATTAGCTTTTCTCTTTGTAGTAGACCTCAGTCTCAACTTACCCCAAGCTTTTGTTAATCAGATAGCCTGTATGCTTACACTTTAACTGTGTATGCTAAATAGAGAATCTGTCCTTTCAATCATACAGGATTCAGACAAGAGCCTCACAAAATTTTAGTTAGAACTTGCAGGTTTATTTTTTTTATTTTGAAAAAGACAAGATAACCCCAAAATAAAACAAAAAACAACCAGACTTACCAATATTAATGACAAGATATCAAGAAATCATGAAGAAAATGATGAAATCAAATAAAAAAAAGCTTTGCAGGATGTCTGAAATCAAGGCTAGGCTTCAACAGATTCTAATGAATACAACTAAAAGTTTTGCTTAAAGTGTCTAGGCAATGTTCAGGAAATTAGGACCACTCTTCTATATTCCATTTGCAAAAGTCAGCAAAATAGACTTCAAAACATGTTTTAGCAGGACAGTTTTGGTAATGATCCTGCCTCCTTATGAACAACAACTTAACTCATCCACTGTGTTGAGGCTCTTCATGTGTTAAAGTGTGTGATGAATACAAAGATGAGTGAACCCTGGTTATACAGAGAATGCAACAGTATAAAAGTAATGAAGCATACATTTTAAAGAAAAGAGAACCCCAAGTCTGAAAATAATCCAGTGATAGTTGTACCACTGATACAAAAGAATACAATCTGAGATTAAGTGTTAGTATACCAGTCCCTTATATATGCATAATAACCTCAGATAGGTAAAATATCTGAGCAATTTTTAAGATAAAAACCTCTGAAAGCTTTACTATAATGTGCCTTTTTCTTTGCTTTGATCTACTTTTCTTCTTTGCCTATTCCTAAGGCTGTCAATGAACACCCTCAGGAACTGCTTAGTGTGTCAGGGTCCCCAAGACTGCCTCCTGCCCTGGGTTTGATGATATGCTTGGAGGAGTCACAGGACTCAGTGTATTTTTGTTCTCATGGCTATGATATATTACAGCAAAAGCAAACAAAGCAAAAAGAGCAAAGGGGAAAAAGGTGTATGGGGGCGAAGTCTGGCAGACACCAGGTACAAGATTCCAGAGTCCTCTGCCAGTGGAATCCAACAGGATGTGCTTAATTTTCCCAGCAACTGAGTTGTGACATGTGTGAAATGTTGTCTGCCACAAAAGCTCACTCAAGTTGCAGTGCTAGGGTTATTACTGCAGGCTAGTCACACAGGTACCTTCTGCCTAGCATGTACCAAAATTCTAGAGTCCCAGGGTGAAAACAGATGTTCAGTACAAACCAAACCATGCAAACACCTCGGTCACAGCAAGCAACTCTTAACAGTGAGAGTGAAGGAAACCCTCTTAAAATCTAAGTTCCCAGATGACAGCCAACCAGGCCTTTCACAGGACAGCAGCCAGGTCTGCTTTGTTACTCTTTTTTGCACACTTAGTAACAATCCCACAGAAATAATCAACATACTTTCAGATTCAAGACTCTCCTAATTCAGAAACAAACTTTTTTTTTAAACTGCATAATAAAGTCTGCTGCTTAAGATATGGTTAATGTGCTCACATTAATAAATTATCAGTTATATTTGAATTTTACTGAAAAGTGGAATGAAAATATATGAAAAACAAAGGAAAATTCAGTTGGTCTTAATGAACTTGGAATCAGTATTTCAATATAAAAAGGGCTCTTTCAGTATTGTTAGCAGCAAAGTCTATAAATATTCATGTTATAACTGACTAAAAATGAACTTCACAGGACTACATAAAATTCAAAAATATACAGCTGATAATTACTTGGTATTAATAGTTTGGACACTAACTTTAGAAGTAAAAGGTAAAGGAGATATGATAACATCACGGTTATGAAGAAAATTTTCTTCAGCTAATATTTTGGGGATACTAGAGGAGACTTCCCCCTGTTGTTCTCGCCACTTCAGTATATTCTCTGCCAGTTCTTCTGTCTCAGTCACCAAAATATCCATCTTTGCTAAAGCCATGCTCTATAACATTTGAAAGAAGGGAAAAATAGGAGAGAAATCACATCTG